GCTTATCGTGTTGTGGTCATTAAAAAACAAAACGAAAAAAATAGTTTACATTATTAACAATGTTCGGACTGTTACCTTCATCTTTGTTGCCCTATTCACGATGTTTCGGCTGTTGTACGCTCCAGCCTTCTTCAGTTGTCCTCAAGGACACATGACCCAGGGGGTAAAAGCGTTGGTAATCCAGTGATTTGACCCAAAGAGATGTGAGTTCAGTACCTGGCTACATCAGAGTTGAACAAAAACTTGGACAGTTGAGTTAACGGGAAATAAAATACTAAGATATCCGGAAGAGGCATGGCACGTGTAACTAGAACAATCTACCGAAATAAAGGGTGGACGAAAATAAAGGGTTCAGTTCAAAATTCCAATCATCTGAAGAAGACCGGAGCATACAACGGCCCAAACGTCGTAAATATCACAAAAAGGATAACAGTCCGAACATTATAAATAGTGTAAATAATTACAATAGTTCATCTTAGAAATGTAGACAAAAACATTGCTGTAAGAAAATATGATTCATACCGTATTCGATGAGCCGATCAACAACTTCAAACAGATTGAGTTTTGAAGGGGCTGGCGGCGCCTGGTCTTCTGTCGTCAAATGTACTTTAGGACTGTTATACTGCGGAAGAAAAATAAAAGTTACTTTTTCATTTCATAGGAATTTGTTAATTCAATACTTGTTTTCAGCATTAATAAGTAACCGGTAAAAAAGATGAATAAAATTAAAAAAACATAACTCTAATCTAAACTGAATTTTGCCCCAATTTAATTAATATTTAATTTTTCTTTTTAAATGTTTCCTTTCAGATGGTTGCATGTAAATTGGAACGTTTTAAATAATCCTATTTTGCATCATCCAGTATAAATAAAGTTCTATATGATCTCTAATCTGGCATAAATATCAGGTATATGTTTACCTGAAATATGTTAACTAAAGGGCCATTGATTTTTATCATTATCACTTTACTGGTTTGTATATAATGTTGTGCGAGTCTATCACGCACGAACATACATACGTACATACAAAAATACAAATCACATACAACTCCAAGCATTCATTGGCTAATTAATCACCATTACGTCATTATAAACAATTTACAAATCGCAGCAATGCGTCAATTTTGTAATCGCTTTATTTTCATGTAGTCAAATCACAGAAGCTTTCTTAAGTTTCCCCAAAGCTCGCTCGCTGATTGGTCTATGCCAACCAATCAGATCGCCTGCACGTGAAGAATAATTCTTCACGCGCAGCGATCTGGAGCCTATAGTCACTTATTTAAGCAAGAATTTTTCTTAGCTAATTAGTGAGAATTCAGCTGCTAAACGAATCCACGACATTTGAAACCATGCGCCAACCTCCTCACTCACACACACCACTCACATGCTGAACATACCTTGTATATACTCACATAATCTTTCTTTACACAGCAAATCTTTTAAGAACAATTATTACAAGAAACTCTCATGAACATTATTCCAGTGAACTTTGAAATACTAAAATAACAGTCAAAGAGAGACAACTCTTGTTTATTTCAACCTTTTCTTACTTAAATGCATGTTTTTTTACACATCGTTGTTTGATATTGTACATCTTGTTAAATACATATTTTATGTGTAACAATGTCATTGGCTTATCCTTTTCTGTGTCAGCCCCGTTTCCTAATCTAAAGTTAAATTAATGTGGTGAAGTCGGCCACAATCTTACGTAATTCTTTTTAAGCCTGGGTCATATTTTTAAAGAAAATATTTTGATATTGCATGTTTTTCTATTTGGTCTTGACGATTATGTGCCGACTTTAACCTTAGAAATTACTAAAACCAAACATACTTTTGCTACAGAATGATTCTCCGTTGGAGATCGTTAATATTTGTTACCTTTCCAATTATATCCGAACATTAAAACAAAATTCTGTTTATCTGGGTAGCATAGTAATAAATGATAGAAAATGTGACACAAAATTCCAAAAGCATATCAGAACAACCAAAGACGCCTTCTGGAAAATAAGCAAAGTATTAAAACCGGGGAAACTTTCGTTAGAAAACAAAGAAAAGAGTGTTGAACTGCTATGACATGCGCAGGATACGATGGATAAATTGTCGTCTAAATTACACAAAAATTAAAATAACACTGACATCTCATTTTAACAGATATATTTACCAAAATTACACAAACATATCTTGAAATATTAAAGAGTAAATTTATTCAATAAAATCCCCATTGGTTTCCACCACCGCCTCCTGACAACTTCGGAATCTCCTGCAGCTCTTCTGGACGGTCTCCTTGTATAAGTTGGTGAATGCTGCCATAATTTTTTTTACTTTAGTTTATCTTTGGTGTCATAAGGAGTTTTGTTAGCTTCTCGTTGGACTGAGCCCCACACATTATAATCAAGGGAGTTGCAGTCTGGGGAAATAGGTGGCCAGATGTAAGGGGTGATGTGGTCGCAGAAATTGTCTAACAGTCATGACTGGGTTCTCCTGTTTGTGTGGCATGGTGCAGAGACATGCTGCCAGACATAGGGTCTTCCAGCAGCTACCATCTTGACCCAGGGCAACACTACCCACCTCAAAGACACTTGATGTAGGCTTTCGTGTTGAGTCTGAGGCTCTGTGGGGAAATGAATGGAAGAATAACGTCTCCATCACTAGTGATCACTTCAAACCTCTTCGTAATCACCAACAGATTCATCCATCTTTTTATGAATCTTCTGCACTGTTCTCAGATTGATACCCAAACACTCTGAAATGTTCGTATTGGAGCTTCCGGCGCGAATGCCAAGTAGTACAGCATGCCATTTCCAAATTTCTGTCGGAGTGAATTGCGTCATAGTGCTCTTTTTTCACGGGCGGTGACCAACTGACCCTACTATATTCTGCAGTCGACAAAATCGAAAACAAACAACTCTCATGCGCAAAATTAAAAAAATTAAATGGTGACAATTTACCTATCGCATTCTGTATATCCTCCGATACGACAGTGAATGCTGGACAGTTTCCTTGCCGATTAACGAAAGACTCAAAGCAACAGAGATATGGTTTTACAGACGGGTGCTAAGAAAACTGTGGACTGTGAGCAACAAGGAGTTTTTTTAAAAAGTGGAAGCAAGAAGGACTTCTATGTGTCGTATACTTTCAGGATGTGGGCGTTCATGTCTCTCTACAACTTCCTATCTCTTCTCGCTCTTAGTAACTTTTGTCTTTTTGCCATCCTTCCTCACTTCAGCCATCCGTTCAAACAAGCATGTCAAGTAAGTGTCCCGCTCTCCCCTGTCCCTTTTGCCTTTGTTATGTCCTGTGAGTGTTAAATTCTCCAAGCCTTTCTTCCTCATTATGTGTCCAAGCAATTTCAGCTGTCTTTGATTTTCAGTATAAGTGACCATTTAGTTTCAATTTCCTTTAAAATCAGACAGACATAGTTGACATTTTTGGAGACAAGTTATGAGGAAAGAAATAAGGCTTGAAAAATTTAACACTTACAGGTCATATTACCTGATATATGCTGGGGTAGTTTAAAAAAATATTATGCCCAGAGGGGGGCTCCCCGAGGCAGTACCTCTCCTTCAGGCGTATTAGGTTTATTGCCGAGTGACTGAGGCGTCAGCAAAAGAAGAAGTGACGTGGGTGCACTGAAAATATCCATATCGAAGGAAGGGTTTGTGGATAAACAGAGAGTAACCAACGTGATGAGTTTGCGTGAATGGATGGCGGAGCAAGAACTAAGAAGCATGGTAAAAAGTCAAACGTTGTTTAGAGTTACAAGGAACTGAAAGCTGTGGAGAGCCAACGATCACCTACATCCTGCCGGGATATGATACATGGAGGTTTATGCAATTCTTCCTAAAGTGATGCATTTTCAAAATTGATATTTCGAATTAAAAAGAAAATAAGAGAACTAACAGGACAAAAGATATGTTCATCAACAGGTTACATAAAATCCAAAGACGGAACACTGATATTGAGATTCTCCAAGCGTAGCTTAGATGTGGCACAAGGCCGAAAGTAGTGGGTACCCAGTGAAGAACGAACTCACTACACAGTCGTAATTGTTCTAGCGAGACAAGCTTGCTAACCATCACACCGCCTCGAGGTGCCCACGGAACGCTGATATTAGAGAAATAAACAAAATACTTCAGAGACGGAACGAATATATCAGAGAACTCTTCCACGACGAAAGAGAAAAACCGGCTATACAGAGAAATACCGACGGAAGAAAAGAGTATTGAACTGTTACGTGATATCTGTCCTCCTGTATGCTGGACAATTTTCTCAAAGATGAAGAAGAGACTTGAAGCAACAGAAATGTGGTTCTACAGAAAGATACTGAGGATACCATGGACCGAACATGTGAGCAACGACAAGGTTTTAAAGAAAATGGAAACAAAAAGGGAACATATATTTAACACCAGGATGAGGCAGTTCAAATTTCTGGGGCACGTAATGAGGAAATAGTGCTTGGAAAATCTGATACTCACAGGACAGATTGCGGGAAAGAGGGATAAAGGAAAACAGCATGTAAAATACTTGATGGGCTTGAGTAAATGGATGGTAGAAAAGGGTTGGGGAAGAATAGCAAAAAGACAAAACTTATTAAAAGCTACAAGGAGCAGGAAGATGTGTAGGGCCATGATCGCCTACGTCCTGAAGGGACCTGGCACATAAAATTAGATAGTATCAACAACAGAGAATGTATTTTTTTTTTTGTTCTGATTATTTTCATGCGATGAAGTTTTTTCAAATATATTTAGAACTTATAAATAGACAGCAACGTGGAAAACGACTACAGTTAATATTTTTAAACTGTAAGAATTTTGGTGGGTGGGGGAGATAATAAAGGTTTATTGATACAAGTCTTACTAATTAACCCGTAGAGGTGGATTCACACCTTTCCCAAAAGAATTTGCACGTAAGTGAATATAACCAAGCCAATGGAAATTGGAACTCGGTTCTCTGATTAACAATTCTGAGCCGTTAACGATTACACCACCTAGACACCCAAGCTTACAGCGCCAGGTACTCCCAAGCGGTCACACATCTAGGTACTGACCAGGATCGACGTTGCTTAACTTCGGTGATCATACAGGAAGCGATGTCTCAACTTGACGTGGCCGTAAGTCCAATGAAAGTTCTCGCCTGCAATTTATAAGAGCTCTCTTCCATGTTTTGACTGTAACTTGCAAGACATTTGAAAGCGTTATTGACCAAGTTCACAAAGTTCATTGGAGTGTGATTCTCGGCCTCAAGGTAACAATTGTCACAGAAAAGTCATAGCTATTTATATTCAAAGGAAAACTGTTTGATCAGTGTTGCATATCATGCTACGAAAAAAAAACCTTTGTTGTTTTGCTTCAAATCACTTAGCCTACCTCAAAATGATTGATACTGATGCAAAGAAAACAAGTAATTCATACACTATATCAAACAGTGTTAAACAGTGCGAACATTTTCAGCTGAATTCAGAAAATAAACAGAAACGGTAGATGTGAGCAGAGAACGGAACGCCAAATCATAGAAGATTAACTGGACGACAGAAATTGAAAGGGAACCTATATCTATATATATATATATGTAATAAAAACTGGAATATAGATCAGAATAATAAGCCTAGTTCTGCATTCCATGCTGAAACATAAAAATTACCCATACACACACACACAAACAAACAAACAAACAAACGGGCAAATACAAACAAACACACTAAAGAGAAATGGAAAAAGAAAGCGAGATCACAGAGTGGTTATTCGGTGATAAATATTCAATGGCGTATCTTTGATATTTAGAAACTGAACAAGACATTATCAATATAAGATCACTTGATCCGAGAAACTGAAAGTTATGCCTATACTATTTATATCTATAAAAGCTATATCTCCGATATTGAACACGCTTTCCACATAAATACAGCAAATTTATATATATATATATATATATATATATATATATATATATATATATATACACTCTCTGTATGGTGTTTAGAGTTCGTGTGTGCGTGTGTGTCGTCCGTCTAGTGTGTTTATTTTTGCCAGTAAGTGTATATGTATTCGTTCTCTCTCTCTCTCTCTCTCTCTCTATATCTATATATATATATATATATATATATATATATATATAAACAAACACAAAAGGAAAGTGTCCTTTTACAGGCATATTCTCTCTGAAATTTGACACATACACACACACACACATATATATATATATATATATATATATATATATATATAAATTTTCATGCACTACTCCAATTAATGTTTTTTCAAATATTTTCAGATTTATAAACAACGAGGAAAGCTATATAGCAAATTTTGATATGGTGTTTATAGCCATAGTGTAGACATAACTTTCAATTTTCTGGATCACGTGATCTATATAGACGTGGACACTAATGCCAACATCGAGCAGCAATAGTCTGTTTCACGCTTTACATGCGCTATATTGAGTATTTTACCCATAAAATAATATACCTTAAAAATATATATATATATATATATATATATATATATATATATATATATATATATACCATGGAAATTTTGATTTCAATTATGAATATGCTATTAAAACATGTAAATTTCAGAAATAAGTTATTCAAAAAAAAAAATTTTTTTGAAGATGGAACAGAGCTTACTTTACTTTTTTCCATTTAATTCAAATAATTATATTGAAGTTTTAGGCTCTTGTTTTGAAACATGAGACCCCTTATGTAGCGTGTTGGAATCATATTTTTAAATAAATAATTATATATATATATATATATATATATATATATATATATATATATATATATATATCCGCACGTGTGTGTGATAAAAAATTTTTTAAAGTGTGCAATATTTATCAGAGGAAAATGGTCAATATCAGACGCTCTCACACACACACACACACACACACACACACACACACACACACACACACACACACACACACACACACATATATATATATATATATATATATATATATATATATAATTTTAAATTATTTAGCCATTTGCAACCGCTTTATTTATATGAAAATCTACACCTAATTATTACCAATTTCACAAAAATCCCTTTCCACATGATTTCTCATCTTTTATCTTTTTTGTTTAAATCTATAACTACAAATGTTACTTTTTATAACCTCAGCTATGAATCAAATAATAAGACTTGTATCTGGAAAAAATAAAAATAATAATAATAATAATTTTAAAAAAGAGAAAAAATAGAACTCATATTAGATAAAGAAAAAATACTTCCGAAATATTAAAAACTGAAGTGGAAGCTGCACTGACAAAATTAAACAGAAACAAAGCGGCAATGACAGAAGGAATTGTAATAGAGATGCTGGCAACCTTAGACGATTTCGGCATAGACAAAATTACAGAAATAATAAATGAAATCTACAATAGTGGTGACCTACCGGAAAACATAAGCAGATCTATTTTCATAGCACTGCCTAAGAAACCAGGCGCAAACGAATGTGAACTTCATCGAACAATCAACCTAATGAGCCACATAACAAAACTCATCATCCGAAATCTAAAGAATAGAGAGCGCAGAATCAGGCCAGAGATAGGACAAGAACAGTTCGGGTTCGTCAGATACTGGAATAAGGAACGCGATATTTATGCTCAGAATGTTCTCAGATAGAGCAATAGAAATGCTGAAGGACGTGTACCTGTGTTTTATAGACTACGCAAGGGCGTTCTATAAAGTACGTCACAATGATCTGTTAAAGCTGCTCAACAACCTTGACATATTCCGGAAAGACATTAGAATAATCAGGAATCTATACTGGCAGCAAACGACTTGTATATGGATAAAAAATGAGTTCCGCAGATATACAAAAATCGAAAGGGATGCAAGAGAAGAGTGTATCTTCAAACCGGAATTATTCAACCTATAAAGTAAGACAATTATGAGAGAACTAGAAATCCTCCCAGGATTCACCATTGGCGGCCACAATCTTAACAATATAAGATATGCAGATGACACGGAATGTCTGATAGCAGACACGGAAAGGAAACTACAAAACCACCTACAGAAGGTAGTGAAGGATAGCGAGAAGAAGGGACTAAGCATAAACTACAAGAATACAAGGTCATCAAGATGAGTCCAAAATGCAAATTACAGGTTGGGTATACTAAAATCAAGCAGGTACAGAAATTTAAATATCTGGGAAATGTTCTAACAGAGGAAGGAAAGTCGTATTGAGCGGGGGGGTGCAAAGACGGATTCCAAAAGCTAAGTAGAAACAGGAAAATTTCTTTGGAAACAAAGAAAAATGCTGAACTGTTACGTAATATTTGTCCTCCTGTATGGCAGTGAATGCTGGACATTCTCCTCAAAGATGAAGAAAAGACTCGAAGCAACAGAATGTGGTTCTAAAGAAGGATGTTAATGATACCATGGGCCGAACATGACTTTTGGACTGAATGGAAAGGAAAAGGAAATTTATACTTAACATCAGGAAGAAGAAAGAAGTTGAAATTTCTGGGGCACGTAATGAGGAAGGAGGGCTTAGAAAATCTGATACTCACAGGACGGACAGAGAGAAAGAGGGACAGGGGAAAGCAATGTGTGACATACTTAATGGGCTTGAGCAAATGGATGTCAGAACAGGGTTTGGGAGAAATAACAAAACTTATTATGAGCTACAAGGAACAGGAAGATGTGGAGGGCCATGATTGCCTACGTCCTGAAAGGATACGGCACATAAAAGAAGAAAGAATCTGGAAAAATCATAGGTTGACATGTCGTAAAACAAAATAAATCCAACCCAACCCAAAATATATGACCTCGACTTTTTAATCTACTCCATTTGAAGCTTTTGAAACGTAGGGATTTCGTGAAATACATCTTTTTGATGCTTTGTCACACATAATCAGTGATGTTTTTAGTTGAGGTTTATTAGGCGCTTCGTGTCCTTCAACATCATACCTACTCTTACGGTAACTCAAGCGAAACTGATCGAGTATCGACTTGAGTGTCATCCGTCAGCTACAACTGGCATTTCATAGTCTAATCACGGATGACTTCCGGTTCAGCAGCTTCTACGCATTTCCGTAAAAAAGGAAGCAAACTAAGTAGACGTTTCGCTCTCGTATAATTTAATTCCATGAAAAGCTGCAGAAAACGCTTTTGCAGATTGTTACATTAACATTGTCTGAATATACGTGCTTATGTACGTTGTATCGATATGTATGCTGGTGTGTGCTTCTTATTAGCTGTTCGCCAAATGTAATGATTACGCCTGGTGTGTTCTACAAAGACTTTTGCCCTAACTTATAAAGTTTAATGATATGAAAAATCGTAAAGTGAAATCCAAATAAAACTTAAACATTTTTAATTTTAGAAACAAATTATATACAGTGTAACCCGGATATAAGAGACCCGGATATAAGAGAAACCCGGATATAAGAGAGATTTTCTCTGGTCCCAAATTAGAGCCCGTGTTAATGTATATAAAATAGACCTAACCCGGATATAAGAGAAACCCGGATATAAGAGACTTCTTCTCCGGTCCCGACAACTCTCTTATATCCGGGTTACACTGTATATATAGGTCTGCTCTACTTTTGTATTGAGCACTTTTTTAGTTAGTTGATTACTCGTATCGGGGTTTTTTTTCTTTGGGCTTTGGACCTGTATGCTTTACGATTATTTTCGACAGACGTTCATGTTCCTAGCTCTTTCTTTTTTTAAAACCTTTTTTTCCTTCGAGATTGATTTGGCCATTAGCAAATCAAGAAACCGAAGGTTTTCCGAGATGAGTGTAGTTACCTATATATATATATATATATATATATATATATATATATATATATATATATATATGTGTGTGTGTGTGTGTGTGTGTGTGTGTGTGTGTGTGTGTGTGTAATGGTTTACGAAAAACCGACATTGGACAACTTATGTTCAAATCCTCACCCGGAAACCAGAAAAATGACCCGAACCATAGAAAAATGAAACAAAAAAAAAATCTTACATAATTTTTCTTAATCGGTATCACCCCATGTAAGGCAATAAAGCCACTAAGACGCAAGGAGTTACATAGTGTGGAAGAATTAGGAACAGAAACATTAATAATGATCAGGAAGAGGAAAGAGTAATCAGGAGGACAGTAGATAAC